CTCCTGGAATTTGAGACCTGAATATCCAACTGTCTACCCAACACTTCCAGCTAGACGTCAGACTCACCTTGAGGAATACACCCCCACACTGAGCCCTGGGCCTGCTCTCCTCAAACCTGCACCTGCTACAGGCCTCTCCATCCATGAGGACAGCACTCCCGTTCCTCCCAGCTGCTAAGGCCTCACACCTCACATCCTCCCCTTCCCTGCTTTTCTCTCCCAGCTCCCGTCTAATCCATTAACAAATCTCTTTGGCTCTACCTTCAGCATATTTCCTCACTGTTATGTCTCTGGTCATGGCACTGACATCCCTCACCTGGACTTAACGATAGCTTCCCAGAGTGTCTGCTGCTGCAGCCTATCCTAACATATCAGCTGTACTGACCCTGTCAGACTCAGTCATGTCCTATCACTCTTCCTCCTCTGTACAAGACCTACCTAGCAATAAAAGCCAAGGTTCTTGCAAAATTGACAAGATCTTTAAGATGACCTACAAGATCTGGCTCCTGCTGTCTCTCTGAGCTCATCATCACTTATACCCCAATCCCTCTGTCGTCTTGCCTGCTCCTGTAATGTTCCAGACACACTCCTACATCAGGATCTTTATACTTGCTGGCTGCCCTCTTCTGGACTGTTCTTCCCCCAGATATCTACATAAACTGATCCCTTACTTGCTTTAGGTGATTACCAAATGTCCCCTTAAGGAGGCCTTCCCTAACCTACCTTTATAAGACTCTCTTCTGACATGTTCTAGCCACTTTCCCCTCCTCCTTGCCCTTACCTAACTCTAACATTCCACATAGTTTACTTTTTCTTTGTCTGTCTTCCCCCACAGAAATGTATGTTCCACAAAGGCAAGGACTTTTGTCTGTTCACTGCTGTGTCCCCATCAAGAGCAATGCTTAGGATCTGCAAGGCTGATAAATCAGTACATCATAATCAAATACTTTTTGAATAGTCTGACTCAATCCATGAGGCTGACTGCAGAGCAGGCTTGATACATGGCTGCAACTATGCTCCTTATGAGGCCCCTCCCCTCTCAATTTCTGCCCACTCCCCAGACCTGTAGGCACCCTTGCAAAGCTCTTCCAGAGCCTTCCCTGGAAAAGCCACTGCATCCATCCTGATGGCAGGCCCCTCCCAAGAGAAAGGGAGGAGTTAGCTGGGAGTTCTCCATCCCAGCTACCAGGTAGGTCCCCTCTTCTCCCTGGCACCTCCCGACTCCCCAGATCCAGCTGCTCATTTTCTGGGGGAGAGCTGGGAAGGACAGAAGGAAGCCCCTGGGGTTCTCAGAAATAGATGGCCCCACCCTCAGGAGAACTTGGAAGGGAGACGAGTGGTTTGCTATCCCAACACTCCCCAGCATATTGTTTGCTGAACTAGTTTGGCCTAACATGGTAATGCTGGTAATGCTAACAGAATGTGCCCTCCGAAAGGTGCGTGCTCCATCCCTCCTCCCATCAGAGCATGGGCGGGAGAGCAGGGAGGAGGGGGACTCCAGCCTTGTACTCCTTCCTCATAGAACCAGTCTCATCAGAAAGGGAGGCCAGAGGGGTCAGGGACACATAAACAAGAAGGGTACTCACTTCCGAGTGAACATACACCCTATGGGCAGAATGGACCTACAAATGACCAATTCCAAGAACATTAGATTAACATCCTCCTACTCTAGATTTTGATTTAATGGAAACTCAGCTCAGTGAAACTGAAAAGGTCTAAAGGTTAATTTGATAAAACTGATCACTCAATTAAAAGGTGATGTTCCTTTAGGAACATTATACATTAACCTTTTAAGCTGGAAATTGACAGTATAGTTATTCTATTAGTAAAAACAGAAACCAAAGAAGTTTTCCTCCCAAGTAGTATTGTTTTGTTGCCAAGACATTGCAGAAAAGGTACATCTACCAGAAGTGGAGACATTATTTTTAATTAAAATCATTCAAGACATCCAGCCAGAGGCTACCTCCATTGCATGCTGTTCTGCTCTAGTAAAATGTCATTACTTAAAAAAAAAAAAAAAAAATGAAATGGGTCAATAAGGTCTGAGCTCTACATTATGAAAAAATTACAGCTTCCTAATTATGTCAAACTAACAAAGCTTTATGAGTCTGAAGGCAATTTTTCTTTCAATTCCACGTTCATACTCCACCCAAAATGTTCTGGCCATGGCCAGCATAGCACACTGGGGGCAGGGGTGGTGTAAAGGCAGGCTGCAGACCGTCCACCACCATCTAGGAAGGGATTGGGGGGACTTGATGAGGGCCAGTAAGGGCAGCCATCCTCCATCCAGAGAGAATGCCAGTCACTTAGGGTGTTTCTGTGTCAATCAGCTTCCCTAGTGTCACCCTAAGTGCCTGCCCCAGCCCCCTCCCATGGGAGAAGGGCGCCTTTTCCAATCAGAAAGCTGACAGAGGAACCAGGCTCAGACATGGACATGCACATGCACCCAGCCATGGCTACTTGCTCTCTCTCCTCTCTGGAATCTGCTTGCTTACAGAAAGCAGAAGCCCTGGGATCTTCTTCTCTCTCATATGCTGTATAGGGGCCTGCCCCTGGCTCTCCATGCTCCAGGGACTGCAACCATTCAGTGGGTATAATGGCTGAGTGAGTCTGTCTAATTCAGGAGCCTTCAATAAGGCGGCTCACTCTCAGACCTAAGCTCTGCCACCCTAGATTTTATCAGTGAGCAAGCTGATAACTCGTTCATCTCCATCATGTTGACCTAACCCTGCATCATCCCATCTCTCTCTCTCTCTCTCTCTCTCTCTCTCGTTCTCTCTCTCTCTCTCTTTCTCCCCCACCTCCCTCCCACCTCTCTCTGGCAGGAAGGAGAGGTGAGTTTTTAACTGCCCACCCCTATAACTTCATCACAGATCACATGGGGTTCCAGTCCAGTTACTCTTCATACCAAGGGACTTCTCTGTGTCAGGAACTTGAACACATCTCATCTAATCCTCATAAGAGCATCATCCACATTGTATAAAAAAGAAAACAAGCATGAGATGTGAAGTGAGCTCTAGACACTGGCATGACTAATACCTGGCAGAAGTAGGGCTGAACTTAGGTGTGACTGCCCCCCGCAAGCTCACGCTCTGTCAAAGGGACCATTAACAGGGGCAGGAGTGGAACTCAGAATGCGTGAGTTGGCAATGAATAGCTTTAAAGAATAGGACACTGAGTTTCCATAACAAGGTAATAGAGCTGTCAAGACTAAGAAAGCCTCAGGAGCTAGAGCTCTATCTGATGCTCAAGACACATGACCAGTTAAATGGTAGAACAGCACCAGTCCTCGGAGACCCCAAATGTCAGTCTGAATGTCTGCTGCAGGTACCTGGGAAAGAGGAAGCCCTGGGCCAGCAGCCAGCTATACTGGGTGACATCAGGAAGAGGACTCAGAGTGGTCTGGGAACACAGACACACAGTGTATGGGAGCCGAGAAGTAAATGCCTTCATATCACTATTATAATCAAAAGTTTAAAACTACTGCAAAGTTACAGAACAGCACCCTTATAAAATAATCTTAGAAATGCATGGAAATTCACTGTCTTATGTGAATCTCTCAACTAGCTGGTGAGTTCTGTTTAGAGCAGAACTCTATAAGCTTTTTTTGAAAAGGGCCAAATAGTAAATACATTAGACTTTGCAGGCCATGTAGTCTGTCACAATCATTTAATTCTGCTGTTGTAGTACAAAAGCAGCCAGAGATAATATGTCAATGAAAGGGTTTGGTGGTATTCCAATAAAATTTATTTATGGACACTCAAATGTGAAGTTCATGTAATTTTCAAATGTAGTAAAATCTTACCCTTTCCCCCCAGCCATTTCAAAATGTAAAAACTATTCTTAGTTCACAGGCTGTACAGAAACAGGCAGCCAAGGTGGACATTGTTAAACCCCTGGTTTGGAAAAGACATCGGTTTTACAGATTAAGGACTTTCTCAGGCTTACAAGTGGCTAACGAGGGAGTGGGGTGGCTTGAATGAAACCGACCTTTAACACACTTGCCTTGTTGGATGCCTTTTCAAGGCAAAGGGAAGTTAACCATGGATTTCCAGGAAAGGCCTCTACAGCCACTGGTGTAACCTAAGTTGTCAGTTACTCAAGGAAGGAACTGGACAGAGAGGTTTATGCCAATTTTGTTTAAGTTTTCCAAAATGACTATAGCTTCCATTTTCATGAACCATAAAATTAGTCCTTGATACATACACACCTCTGGAAATGAAATTTACACTGCCATCTAGTGTTGAGCTATTATTTTAACTGAGAACTTAAAAATAAGGTCATCTTGGCAGTATGCACAAAGAGTAATAATTTTACTACATTCCAAAATTATACAAATGAAATACACTTAGAAGTATAAAGTTGCCTATGATGACATTTCATATATCCCACCCAACCTTCTCATTAATTCACACAGTACCCTTGAGGCTGAGTCCTATGGTAGACGGGCTGCACCATCACCAGGTGCAAATGAAGGTCCAGGAAGCCCAGGCGACAAGAGATTTCCCTGTAATGCTCCTGCATCTGTTGAGAGCTGGAGTCTTATTCTGGAAACTATTCTAGAAGTCTCAATCAAAATGCTTTCTGTCTTTTGAAAAAGCATCCAAACCAACTCTCCCTAGATTAAGAGTTCTTGTCATGCACATTTATATGACCTGCATCATCCTATCACTTGTTCAATAAGCACATACTGAGAAACTGTGTCTTATTCATGTCTATGTGTTTCACAACGTATACAGTACATGTAGAGATACAAACGTGGGGGCATCAGCATAGAAGATTATGCTGTGGGGATATCATGACCTTAAGGGTGTGCAGGATAGCAGAGCCTACCCAGGATACATGAGCTCCTTTCTGCTCTGCAGAAACCACCACTAAACTGACCCTCCCCTCTACAACTCTGGGTGGGCAAGTAAAAAGTAAGGACAAAAGGCTCAAAAGGAATATAGGTATGGGAAAGAACTCAGTTACCAAAGCCATGGTAAAAAGTATGCACTTACCTATAAGCATTAATATAATCTTTCCTGTGTTCCAGAAGAAAATCTCTCAGTTTGCCAATGTGTGAAATCTAGAATTAAAAGAAAGCAAATAATTTATATAGATAGGCATGTTACACTTACCTGCAATAAATTTTAAATTAATAGAGGATAGAATACAGGTTGTAGACAAATTTTGAAGCTACAAACTGGGCAACTTTGGTTTGGGCTTCTCATATATAGTTGAGCCTTCAACAATGTGGGAGTGATGGGCACCAACTCCCCCTACCAGTAGAAAATTCCTTATATAACTTTTGACTCCCCAAAAACTTTACTAGTACCCTATTGACTGGAAGCCTTACCAATAACCTAAGCAGTCAGTTAACACGTATTTTGTATGTTATATGTATCATATACTGTATTCTCATAATAAAGCAAGCTAGAGAAAAAAATGTTACTAAGAAAATCATAAGGAAGAGAAAATCCATTTACAGGACTGTACTGCATTTAACATAATAAAATCGACGTGTAAGTAGACCCATGCAATTCAAACCCATGTTGTTCAAGGGTCATCTGTCATCATTAACTAGTTGGTTAACTCCCAAATTCCTGGGCTTTGGTCTCTCATTGACAGTTCCTTCTTCCCGTAAGTGTTGTGATAGGATCTAAGACGTTAGGAAGAGATGATCTCTATGGAACTTCAAGATTATATGAGATAATGCATGTCTAGTAACTATATAGCATGCGCTCAGTAAAGACAAATTCCTTTCCTTAGTGTCATAACTAAAATTTTATAGACAGATACTCCTCCTTGAGAGTGTTCTGAAGATGGATTCTAAGGCTGAAGATGTCAAGTTTATAGACAGGGCTCCACAGAGCAGCAGTTAAAAGCTTCAGGGGCAATGACAGATCCCTACACAGCAAACCTCCATCTTCCCAATGGCCAACTTCCACAGATGAACAAACACAAAAGTACAAAGGACTGTATTTGTGACCGCTGGTATCTAGTATAATAAAACCCCACTCAATAGCACCTCCCATGTGTCAGGTACTACATGTGGAGATAGGGATTACAAAATTAGTAAAATAAGGGATGATCCCTGGGTGGCGCAGCAGTTTGGCGCCTGCCTTTGACCCGGGATCGAATCCCATGTCAGGCTCCTGCATGGAGCCTGCTTCTCCCTCTGCCTGTGTCCCTGTCTCTCTCTGTGTGACTATCATGAATAAATAAATAAAATCTTTAAAAAAATTAATAAAATTAATAAAATAAAATAAAAAGAGGTAGGAATAAAACTACAACCATGGTTGACAAAGACAAATGTGTTTCCAGAAGGAAAGAATGATTGATTAAGCCAGTGGCCAGCTCTGTCCTTTGACCACTGCTCACACTAGCTTCTGCCTAATGTTCTTTGTACTTATTCCAAACATATATAACCCCAGCCTCGAAGGGTCCACTGAACTTTCATCTTTTCCATGAAAGTTTTTCTGTCCACTGCTCACACTAGCTTCTGCCTAATGTTCTTTGTACTTATTCCAAACATATATAACCCCAGCCTCGAAGGGTCCACTGAACTTTCATCTTTTCCATGAAAGTTTTTCTGTCAAGGCCAGGTCAGGCTAAGTTTCACTTTGCTCTCAACTTGAAAGCACTTCTGTATACCACTCACATGGCACTAAATTACACATGGCCACGTCTTCTGGCTTTTCTGTCAGTGGGACGATGAACCATGTGGGCACAGGCGGGGCTGCTTCCCCAAAGTTCTAAGCACAACATAGGATCCAGGGGTGGTCACTAAGTATCTGTGGAACCAGTCTAAGTACAAAGACAGTATTTATCACAAGGGAAACATTCAGCATTTGTCTGGAGATAAGTCAATAAGGGTTCCGTTAAATTTTCCACATATTCTAGATAAATAATAAATATGGTTCAGAAAAGTACCTTCAGGCATCTGAAGAGCAGGAATCAAACTAAAAATGAAGTATGGCCTTAACATTCACTTATTTACCAGGTAACAAACAAGGGTTTAGAGTCTGCCTGACATCCCTGGCCCCATGAGGTACACTCACTCACACAACCTCGTTCTCTACCCAGGGCCCTGTTGTGAGCACGGGCGGCACTGCTCTCCAATGTTAACCAGTTTGGGAAAGTGAACCTCACAGAAGCTAAGTGATTCATCCAAAGTGAGACACAGAGCACGCGGCAGAGCTTAAAGGTAAACTCAGGACAGTCCGAGTTCAAATTCAGCATGTTTTCCTGGACAACATAGCTGCCTTCCTCACACCCTTATTCCTATTTTCCACTTAAACTGCATCATACAATCTGATTTCTAAGACAGTGAGGAAAATATTTAAGGGAAGTACAAACAAGGTGTTTACTGTACCACATATAAGATTTGATTTGTTATTCTCCTGTTTTAAACTTTCAGCGTTTCTATCTTCTTCCCTAAGCCGTACTGACAAGGGGCCAGGTAAACAGTACACAGGAGTCAAGTGGATGGCTTTAGTACATTTGGCAGTGGTGGATTCTGGATTTAAAATATGCTGCAGCCAAAGGAAGTAGCTCTGTCAGCAGTCACCTCCAGGCCTAAACAATGGAGTCAAGTCCAAGCTCCCATAAAGCCCTCAAGGCCCTTCACAGTCTGGCTCTAAAGATCCCATGTGGCCACATTCCCCACCAGGCTCCAGGTCCCAGGGCTCCCCTGCACACACACCCAGATGGCTCTCCCCTTCCCTGGAGACCCACCTCCCTCCTTCGCAAACGTCTCCTCTTTCAAGATGCTCTTTTCCTCCCAACTCTGCATCCCCAGGCACAGCCAGACCTCATCACCTACAGAATGTGGCACATGTACCTATTTCAGCACCCCTTCCTCAGGGGACCACAATGACTAGCTTTATTTATTTATTTTTTAAGATTTTATTTGTTCATGACAGACACAGAAAAAGAGAGGCAGAGACACAGGCAGAGAGAGAAGCAGGCTCCATGCAGGGAGCCTGACGCGGGACTTGATCCCGGGTCTCCAGGATCATACCCCAGGCTGAAGGAGGCGCCAAACAGCTGGCCATCAGGGCTGCCCCCAATGACTAGCTTTAGACTGATTTCCCTATACCAGATGGCCAGCTCCTGGAAGGTGAGAGGCTGTTTCTCTTACCCATAACTCGTCAGTTTCTAGAGCAAAGAACAGATTCTAGAGCAAAGCAGAGCCTCAAAAACTTTCATTGTATGTTGAATAAACAATGGGTACCAAATAACCCTCAAAGGATTACATTTACTGTCGTAGGCAGTGTAATGCCACTCTCTCCCCCAAAGACGTCCAAGGTGTAATCCCTGGAACCTGTGGATGTACTATGTGACAGACTAAAGGAGAATTAATGTAGCAGATGGAATTACAGTTGCTTGTCAGTTGATCATAAAATTTTAAGGGAGATTATCCTGAATTTTCCAGGTCTGAAGGCCCTGTAATTTCACAAGCATCCTTAAACGTGGAAGAGGGAGGCAGGTGACAGAGGGAGTGTCATGAAATGGGAGAAGGACTCAATCTAATGCTGCCTGCTTTGAAGATAGAGGGGAAGAGCCAAGGAACATGGTCAGCCGCTAAAAATTAGGAAAGGGAAGGAAATAGATTCTCTTCTACAGTCTCCCCAGAAAAGAACACAGTCCTGCCAATACCTGGATTTCAGCCTAGGAAGAAAAGACCTCTGTCTACAAAAATCATAAGATAATAAATGTTTGTTGTTTTAAGCCACTGGGCTTATGGTAATTTGTTACAGCAGCAAGAAGAAACTCATACACCTTGTCTTAGTTTAAGCTGCTGTTAACAAAATCCCACAGGCTGGGTGGCTTACAGGACAATACAGTATCACAGTTCTGGAGACTGGAAAGTCCTAGATCAAGGGCCAGGAGATTTCCCGGGGTGTGGTTGAGAGCCCTCTTCCTGGTCTGCAAATAGCTGCCTTCTTGCTGCAATCCCACAAGGTGGAGAGGTGTCACCTCTCCCATGTCTCTTCTTACAAGGGCACTAATCTCATTCACAACCTAATCAACTCCCACAGGCCTCACCTCCTACCACTATCACACTGGGATGTAGGGCTTCAACATATGCATTCGGGGCGGGGGAGGGGGTAGTAGGGAGACACAAACATTTAAAGTAGGTTAACAGGCTTTTTGTTAGGAGTCATAAAGCTTTCCACAAAAAGTTTTTAACAAGTCCAAAGGAATCTAACACATAGGCTGGATCCCTCATTGCCCTCTACCCCCACCTTTAGCTAGCTATAGTCTACCTCCTGGTATGGTGCAAGGGGATGAGTGCCAGGAGCAAGAAGGCCCCACAGACATCTCAAAAAACATAATTAGAAGAGGTTTCTCTTAAAGTATAATAAATATGATCCCAATTTCTCGTGTTCTGTGATGGCAAATTTCTATGAAATGAGTTTATTAAAACAAACTAAAGCTTGTTCAGTATTAAATGGAATTCTTGATAAATTAAGAGATACTAATTACTGACTTAATATCAGTATAACTCAATACTTAACATGAGTATAATGAACAAAATATTTCAAGTGTATAAATGAAAAGAAGTACATGAGCATTAAAATTTCTGTAGGTATTCGGCAGCCATGAAATTCTATTAGACTCCTAAAATAGATACACACAAAAAAGTCACAACAAATCAATAAGAAAAAAAATTTCAATAGGTCTTTGATTTATCTAAATAGATACCCTTAAGCTCCAAATAGCATTATATGATAGGGCTATCTTCATAATGAACAATTTGGCAATTTAATCACATGACTACCACCATCATCTTTGTAAAGATTCCTGGCCAAACTGATCTGTTTACTGTTGTGCTTGGTCCTATTTTTTGAATAAACTGCTAAAAATAGTATATTATATTTCATACAATTCTGATATGGCCCTTAAGTTTTCAAAGTTCTAGAGGCTGAGTATTTGTATGCTTTAAATTTTGAATGCTTCCACACACAGTGCTAACTTGAAAAGAACCACCTGTATGTGTGTATCCAAAGAGAATGCCTCTAACTCTTAAAAGGAGAAAGGCCATTCACTGGAATGTCAAGTCTGACATGGAATCAGAGA